ATATACATACTTACAGGCATACATGCATACATACATGTCATATTTGTTTTACAGAAACACTGAATTGTTTCTCTAATTCTCCTTATCTTGATGTCGTTTTCGTTTCGTAAGATCATGTATTCGAACCTTTCCCCCAAGGGATCGTTGAAACTATATGAGTTCATAGCGATAGTAACAGGGGTGATGATAGTTCTCTCTCAGATGCCGTCATTCCATTCCCTCAGACACCTCAATTTTGCTTCTCTCGTTCTCTTGGGCTACACATCCCTTGTGGTTGGTGCTTGTATCCATGCAGGTAATATGCAAAAATAATACATGAACAGGTTGTGTTTAATCCATTGGTTCCATCTTTTAATCATGTTGTTTGAAGATCATAGTTGAATCTCAGTTTTCTTGTGTTGGAACCATTTTCGGACTCGAAACAACTTCTACTAGTGCTGCAGGTCTGTCTAAAAACGCCCCTCACAGAGACTATTCTTTGGAAACTAATAGTTCATCACGGATGCTTAACGCCTTCACTTCTATCTCCATAATAGCTTCCATTTTCGTGAAAGGGATACTTCCGGAAATACAGATTCACTTCGAATTTCTGAACATCGAATTCAAACAGTCGTTCTTTGACAGATGCTTCTTCGTTTTGTTTCAACGAGATTGCCTCTGGTGCAGGCAACACTGGCTCCACCTGCTACAGGGAAGATGTTTAAAGGACTCCTGCTGTGTTACAGTGTAATTTTTGTTACTTTCTACGCAACTTCAGCTTCTAGATACTGGGCTTTTGAAAACAAATCAAGTTCAAACATTCTCAAGAGTCTAATGCCTGATGACGGACCGTCATTGGCCCCACCAATGGTTACTGGCCTCGCAATTAGTTTCATTCTTGTGCAGCTATTCGCCATTGGCCTGGTATGATATTATTATTCTCAAAACAAATGGATATTGCATGATCCGAGTAGTGTTTTCCACTGATATTTTCCCGAATATATGTAACACAGCTTTATTCTCAAGTTGCATCTGAGCTCATGGAACATCAATCAGCTGATGTAAACCAAGGGATGTTTTCAAAGAGGAATCTTATCCCCAGACTAATTCTTCGGACTCTGTACGTCATATGCAGTGGGTTTATAGCCGCAATGCTTCCTTTTTTCGGTGACATCAATGGCGTAATAGGCGCCATTGGCTTTATCCCTCTAAATTTTGTCCTCCCTATGCTTCTCTACAACATGACCTACAAGCGCTCGAAATCCTCTTTCACCTACGTACTGGTTCAATCTGTTTATCATGGTCGTCTTCACCGGCGTCGGAATCATGGGCGCTTTCTCCTCGATCAGGAAGTTTGTTCTTGATGCCACCAATTTCAAGCTCTTTAGCAGTGATGTGGTTGATTAAATCATACGAACTGAGCATTAAACAAGTCTGAAGCAATCCCATAGTTTAAGCAGCTGAAATGTTCAATGACTGTCGACAAGCATTTATATTGTGGAATGCTTCATCAGGCGTGGCATGGGACTGAATTAGAAGGAAGCAATGTTACATCGAGAGATTAGTTTTATAATTATATTCCGTCTTGATCGTAATTTAATACTACAAGTTTAAAGATTCTTCCTCATCCCATAAATCTTGATCTTTTGACAGCTGATGTAAATTAAATATATATTATTTTATTTAACTAACCATGCAAAATGCAACAAAATTAGATGTATAAAGTAGAAGGAAAAAAATCTCCCATATTGAATGGTCCTTAATGAAGAGAACGTGAGCGCTATAACGGCCTCCTTTCTTTTCCTTCTTTTGGATTTTTTATAGTAAATTGTTATCTCGAATCTTCCCATATATAGAAGGCCTTCGTTCAACTCGGTTCAATGGTGGCGACACTCCATATGACTCGTTAGAACTCAAACCTTTCAAACGCCAACTCAACTCAGGTTTTCATCAACAAACCATGTCCATGCCCGAGTTTATCGTCAACACCACCGGAGCTCATCCTCCCCTAGAGTACTCGACCACCCTTCCTCCACCCGTTTCCAAGAAGCAGCCTTCCAAATTCTCTCGCTCCATCGTTAAACTCTTCAAATTCATGTTCAAGTCCAGACAAAGCTCGAGCCATTCCGTTTTGTGGCTGAAACAAAGATCACTCGAGGAGTACTACGTGATCTACGACAAGACTGGCGCACTGACGACAATCCCGGAGGTTCCCGAGATCGATTTCGGAGGGTTCTCGCCGGAGATTAACTCGTTGGTTATTGAGAGAAGTGAATTGGAAAGATTCACGGCTGCCTCCACCGTCGGTATTTCATGTGCTTGATATACTAAGCGTAAAAGAGGCCGATTATACAGAAATATTATATCTGTAAATGAATAACGAAGATGTTATCAAGTAGTCGGTATTCTTAGGATGCATGTTTTCTCTTTTAAGGTTACTTTTAGTTGAAGTTTTGAACTTTGACCCTTTCACGTCTCAAATATATGATCATCAGCTGAATCAATTTAGGGTTACAATCAAGCTGATGCACTTCGCTTTATGTATGGAGTTACTGTTCAAGATGTTCCATTAGTCAAATATCTTGGTCTCTTCAAACATTCAAAGCACTTCGAACTTTGTTAAATCTCTAAGGAATCCTTCAACAAACATAAAATCATTTTTTTATTAAAATTCCATATAGAAAAATTGTCTCCAAAGCCTGATGACACTCCCAGTAGCATGCATGATTCGCACATAGTCGTTTCCTTAGTTATATCTGCCTACAAGATTGGCAAACAAAACAAGGTTGGAAACTAACCAATACTTTTTTTACTCTAATTACTGTCATTAAATAATCTTACCTTTTTCTATTGAAAAAGCAAAGATAAAGCTGTCCTAATTTATTTATTTACGTATTCTTAGTAGTATTATGCAGTGGTTTACGTGCCGTCATTTTAATGGCAGTTCATTGTCGATCAGCTGAGTTGATTTTTGCTTTTCCGTGGGTTCCAACTGTTTCACGACGCATAAAGTTAAAGGCTTCCAACTGTTGGCCTAAGCCATTTCCACACTTGATCTCAACATTGACGGTTAACGCTAACACACAGATTAACTACTCAAAGATATATCTTTTCACATTTTAACTGAAAAAAAGAGAGGTGAAAATGAAACAATGGCAGTCTGGCACAACAAAATAGAGCCATATGGTAGCTTAATGATTTGGTTATTCTGGTTCATGCCACATATACTCTGAGTTCATAAAATTTATTCACTGTAGCCTTGTTGGACAGTGCTTAAATAAGTTGTAATTGTAGAATACAGCGGCGGATGTTATTGGTCGTCTGAAATTTCTTAAAATTTTAACTTTATTCTTAAAATTCGATTTTTTTCTTAATATATGTGTATCCACCATGAAATTTTATTATATATTGTTAGATTTTTTATTTACTAAATGCCTCTACATCTTCATTTCCCAATTACCACATATATAGCGTTTTACAATACCTGCTAGAATGTTCTTAGCTGGAGCAGTTACACCAGGCTTGCCTTGCTGACACATCCTTTCTAACAACCAAATAACAACATATTTGTTATTCACTGCTATTCTCATAATATTTAACATATATTGGCCGTTTGAAATTTTAACATACCCAAAGGTAATTTTTCACATTTCGAACATTCAAGATGTTGGCTATAATAAAAGGGAAAAAAGGATAAACAATTAATTGATCTGGTGAGATGATATATTAAATCCTTTAAGCAAAATTTTGATGTTATAAATTGAACAAACTAAGTTAGAAGGATCACTCTCATAATGAGCCTTCGCAGTACCTGATTTATATTAAACGATCAACAGATCAGATATATAGTTATAAAAAAACAAATCATTTTGGGTATTCCTCTCCCAAAAAAAAGGTTTAGAATAAATTATGTATTTAGAACTTAAACTATTACTTTTGGTCAATTTTAATATCTAAACTTTTAATTTTTTTAAAATCATACCTAAAGTTTGGTTTTTATTTTATTTTAGTACCCCTCCGTTAAAAACTTAATGTGTTTAGTACTTAAAATATCATTTATGGTCTGTTTCAATACCTAAACTTTCAAATTTTTCAAAATTTAACGTTAAATTTTGAATGGGGTGCTAAAATAAAACAAAAACTAAAGTTTTTTAACGGTGGGTACTAAAATGAAACAAAAATTAAACTTTAAGTATCGTTTTGAAATAATTAAAAGTTTAGATTCTAAAACATATAAAAACTGATAGTTTCTATTCTAAACGCGTAGTTTATCCAATTTATAATAAGGTCCCGAAGCCCAATACCTAATACAATCCAAGCTTCATATTTAAATCCACAATCTTGGGCGGGCTTGGCCCTTCGCGGAGTTTAGGATTTTGAAGCAAATTGAAACCTGTAACAAATTGTACGGACATGGAGAAACCAATAGTGACACTCGGCAGAGGCACGGCACGCTCGGCCTGGAACTATTGCGGCCAAAGTTTAGCCGCCGGTTTCGTCGATGGTTATCTCTCAATTCTGGATTCTTCTGACCATTCGTCTTCTTCATTCACTTCCTCTTCTAAATTCAAGGTCTCCTATACAAAAAGAATACATTTTTCCTTTTGTATTTGTTTATGCTTAAATTCTGCTGTAATATGATATGACCGAGAAACTTGCACTGCCTCTCTAGTATGCCATACATCTTTATTTGGTTTGGTTTATCAAGTTTCCGACTCTGAGTTATTCAAAGCTATGCAAATCTGGTAGCCAAATCAAACTTTGATGTTAAGTTTATAATGACGGGATATTAAAATAAAATAAAAAACTAAACGATAGGTATAATTTAAAAAAAAAATAAAAGTTTAGGTACTAAAACAGATCATAACTAATAGTTTAGATACTAAATGTGTAGTTTACCCATTTTTAATATATTGTTGACCGTATCTCATTGACATCCGCTAGGGGACGAAACATAATCTCAAAGCAGATTATTCTCTACCACTCTTTAGACGTTTAAATAACTTTGCACATCTTTCTCTATGATTATAACTCAGGCCTGACCCTCTGGAGATTAAAGAAGATCTTAACCATGGAGAAGCAAGCTGCAAGCAAGGTCTGCTGCGTTACTGGAGGTTCTGGTTATTTAGGTTCTTGGCTCGTTAAGAAGCTCCTTGAAAAAGGCTACACGGTCCATGCAACGCTACGAAACTTGGGTTCTCTCTCTTCTCTATATATTTATGTTCCCTTTTCTTTTCTCACGGTTAATGAAATTTCTGATGATGGTTTGAATTGCAGATGATAAATCCAAAGTTGGGTTTTTAGAGTCCCTGCCTGGTGCAGACACCAATCTGGTTTTGTTTCAAGCTTATATATACAATCCCCATGAGTTCAAACACGCGATCCAAGGGTGTGAATTTGTGTTTCATGTGGCTACTCCTAAGCAAACAGCCGACACTCAAAGCTCACAGGTTTGTTGATTCGTCTCTCTTTTTCATCAAGCAAATAGCCGCTAATTATTAGTTCTATTACATATGATATGCAGAAAATCATTGAAGGAGCGATTTCAGGTGTGAGAAGCATTGCCGAGTCATGCCTACAATCGCCAGCCGTAAAACGACTCATATACACGGCTTCGGTTCTTGGAGCATCGCCGTTAACGAAAGATGGGTTCAACGTCGAATTTAGCGTAAAAGAATCGTCTTGGACTCATGTTGATGCTTCATTTGCATCCACCCATGGCCTTCAGCATATGCGGGTCAGTAATTTTTTCTGTTTACTTTTCCACTGAACATCACACTAGTTTTCTGGTTTTTTACTTAATTAAAACTTTTAATTTCCTGTGATGTGATATAGACATATACTGTATCAAAAACCTTGGCGGAGAAAGAGGCGCTGAGGTATAACGGCGAAGCTAACGCCAATGGCGGCAAGTTACAAGTCGTGAGTCTTGCTTGTGGGCTTATTGGAGGAGAGACTCTTCTTTCTCACGCACCATCCAGCGTGGCTGCCATGTTTTCGCAGCTTACCGGGAACTTATCCACTTTCATGGGGCTAGAATATTTGGAAAAACTTCTGGGATCGATCCCTATGGTTCACATCGACGACGTTTGTGAAGCTCATGTGTTCTGCATGGAGAAACCTTCCATGGCTGGCCGGTTTATTTGCGCCGCTGCTAATCCGACCATCGCACAAATCGCGGCTCATTTTCGAGAAAATTATCCACAGCACCAGATACCACAACAGTAAGTAAAAAGGCTTAATAGTTGATTTCCCCTATATAGGGGTCAAACTGAGAATTAAACTAAATTAAGGGGGCAATTAGCTTCTAAGACTTGGTAAAAAAACTAAACAGTAATATTTAATATTAATAGTTATGTTATATTATATTGATTGAATTGTAATGGATGTTACAGGCTGATGGGGGAGGAAAAGGAAGGCATTGCATGGGACAAGAGCAAATTGGTGAAGATGGGTTTCGTGTACAAATACGACATGGAGAACATATTGAACGATAGTGTTAAATGTGGAAGGCGACTTGGAGCGGTCGTCTCTATCGATCAGTGATTATTATTTTAGGGGTAAATTATAAATTTAGTAATTGAATTTTGTTATCTATCATATTTCACTTACTGTACAGTAATTTTTTTCTATTTTCTCACTAAACATAATACATTGTGTTTTTTTTATCACTTAGTCGTTTCCTCATTTGAGTATATTATAAATGGACTTCTATATACATGCAAAACGACGTTATTTTGGTAAAAAAAATTATTTTCTTAAAACAACATCGTTTTAACACCGTTTACTATTTAACGGCGGAGTAACAAAAAAACTCAATGTATTAAGTTCAGTGAGAAAATTGAAAACTTTTAAAGTTCAAGGAACAAAATAGGAGAGAGAACAAAGTTTAATGATGAAATTTGTATTTTTCCCCTTATTTTAGATATGTTGAAGCTCATAATTATTAAACTATGTTAATTAACGGTGCAAAATTTCTAAAATTTCAGTCTCAAAGCTGTAATCATTGTCAAATAAATGAATTGTATTAAAGATATTCTAAATCAATTATGATTTGATTTTAATATTTCTCTTAAATTTTAATATTTCTATACCAGTCTATAAATTATGAGTTAATTCAAAATCAGTTTTTAAAATTTAAAATATTCTACCTTAGTCCTCAAATTATCGATATTATTTTATTTTGATTATTCAATTAATGTGTCTTTAACTCTCCTTGTTAAAAAGAATAATAGTTTTTGAAGGTTTTATAACTTTTTAGGTTACCTTGTTCAATTTTCATGACCTTCAAAAAAATAAATTAATTTTTTAGCAAGTAGAGTTAATGACACATTAACAAAAGAGTTAATTGCATTGTGTCCCCTAGTCATAACTCTTAATTTAAATTGGCCCTTAATTTTTTAGTATTCTTCCCGAACTATGACAGTCCTTAAACTTTTGGACATTCTATTTCACCCCTAAAATATGACCCTCTTTCTAAATTGGTCCCTAAACTTTTAAACATTCTAATTATCCCCAAATTCATCCAAATATGCAAATAGTTTCAACCGTAGTTTAATATAAATTTTGTCATTATTCAGACATATAAAACTATAACTTGGCCTAATAATTTTATTAACAAAGGATATGATTAGTATATACATATAGTTTGGGATGAAATTGGGATATTCAAAAAGTTTGGAGACCAAATTAGAATGAATTTCATAGTTTGGGATGAAATTGAAATGTTTAAAAGTTTAAGAACTAATTTAAAATGATAATAGTAGTTTAGGGATGAAATTGGAATGTTTAGAAGTTTAAGGACCAATTTAAAATGAGGGTCATACTTTGGGGATATGCAATGCAATTAACTCTTAACAAAATGATCAAAATAAAAGGATACTAATAGTTTGAGAATTAATATAAAATATTTTAAAGTTTAAGGAACAATTTAAAATAAGAGCTATATTGGGGACCTCATGTAAATTAACTCATATTATTATTATTATTTTGGATAGACTTATATTATTATTATTATTATTCACGCGTTATTGTTACGTACATATAATTAAAATGGGTGAACACAAATAACCTAATCACCTTCAATTGTTATATATAGAAAGTGAATGAAAAAAATTTAAAATATATAATAATTATAAAATTTTAAGAGTAGATCGTTTTCATCTACCCGCTTCGATACATCCTTAAATATGATCTATTGAATTGTTTGTGTTTTATTTTCGAGCATTATCATTGAATTGGTCTGATATGAATGACCCATTGAATTTATTTTCCCCATCTCTTTCGGATAATGTCATTAAATTTGTCTGATCGAAATGACCCAACAGAAACTTCAATTGTTGCTTTGCTTGTCCAACAAAACCTCTTGTTTTGATGTTGGACCTATGGTCTCATTTGTTGGAAATAACAAGTAATTTGCAGAGATCAAGGCAATCGAAGCTGCCATAACATTCTTCGTTAAGGCAGGTTGGGTAGGAAAAGCTTCTTTTGTGGTAGAATCGGATTGCTAAGTCGTCCTGAATTAGATTGCTTCCCCGTTAATGCGGCCGTGGAAATGGTGGAGTGTTCTTGACTCGGTAGACAAGCAATCCTGAAAAAAATTTCAGGTTCAATTCTCTTACACCCCGAGAGCTTTAAAAGAGATGGCCGACCACTTAACAAAAACAGGGATGATAAGACTTGAATTATTCAAAGCATGATGGTAAGCTTGCTTAAGTAATGTAAAGCTTGTTTGTAACGCCCGAATTCCGGGTTAGAAGTTTCCAGCTAACCCGAGGTTATTGAATCGAGCCCAATAGACTTGTAGGATATCTTGGATCAAGTCAAGTTTTGGAAGTGGGCTTATGTTAGGCCCAAATAGTGGAGATAAGGACCTTTGTAATACTTAAATAGATGTTGGAGGACTAAAAGAGATATTTTACCCTCTTAAGATTCAAAAGCTGAATTGTTTTAATTTGGGATGAGGTAGTATGCTCACCCACTCCTCATTTTCATCATCCTTTTGTTCGTAACCAAACATTCTTCTTCTTCCCTCAAAGAAAATTAGTAAAGGTGGAAACTTGACAATCCTTCAAGTTCATTTTGATAATTCTAAGGTAAGAATCATGAATACCTCACCTTAAGCTTTCATTTAAGCCATCAATCTCAAAGTTCGGTAACCATAGCCTTGGATGTGGGTTTAATGGGGTTTAGGAGACCAATGATTTATAATTCATTTTTAGTGGATTTAAGTTAGGGAAGTTTTCTTAGTATCATTTTTAGTCTAAAAAGCAAGTTAGTATATAATTCTTTTCCCATGTTATGCTAGTGAGGTGATTGGTGAATGTTCCAAAACCAAGGACAAGGAGAAGTTAACTATTGGTTAAGTGGTAGACATTTTTATCAACTTTAAGGTCGAGATAACACATTTCTAACCTTCCTATACCATTTGTGGGTCATTAAGTGCAATATCTTAGATAGCACTAGTTTATGAAAAACTTGAGCATGTTCATGATAAATTCTAAATTTGGTGTTTTTAGCATGCTTAAAGACCTATTATGATCCTTTCTTATTCACATAAGACTTTAATAATGTTTGGGGACTTCAGTAGTGCATCTTAGGAGTCAAATTCATGCCTAAACAAGGCATTTCTAGGGTTGAGTATCGATACTTGAAGAACAATACCAATATTGTTCTAGCGATGAACAATTTGAGGGAACTTTAGTGTATGAGTATTGATACTCATTCAATGAGTATCAATACCGTAGGCTCAGTTTCGAGACTCGTAAGAGGGGTATCGAGATCAATTTTTTAGTAGTCAATTTTGGTATCGGCACCCACGGATGGTATCGATACCAAGGGTAGGAGTATCGATACTGAGACATTTTATTAAAACATTGAACCAAAATTTTGTACTGATACCTCATCAAGTATCGATACCTAGCTCATGAGTATCGATACTGGTTCAGCAGTATCGATATTATCCACCCATTCTCAACGTGATTTAACCTTATGGTATCGATACTCAGTGAGTATCGTTACCCTCGTACATTTTTAGACAAGAAGTCCAAGAAATTTCAGAAGTGAATTTGAGGAACCCCACAGTACGAAAACACCAATGAATAAGATTCACTACAACAAAACATGTTTTTAGCGGTGTTTTTTAGTTATATAGCGGCGTTTTTTAACGTCGCTAAAAACAATTGCGGCTGGAAAAAAATGCCGCCAAATTCGTCATTGAAACCAACGTCGTAAAAGGTGGCGACGTTTGTTGGTCTAAAATGCCGCTAATGGTTATGTTTTTTTGCGGTGTTTCTTCCATAAATGCCTCTAAAGATAATGACTTTTAGCGGCGTTTTTAGGAAACATCGTTATATATATTGTCCTTTTGTGCCTTTAGTGAGAACAATAATTGAAACTTAAATACATATAGAAACCATATCAACTAGGATGACATAAGATTAACCTCGTGTGAATGCTCAATAAACAATTAGGACACCAGGGGTACTTTAGTTATAAGATGAAGGTTATATGTTAGAATGTCCGAACATGTACCAGTTAGTGTGCAAGGCATTTTAATGTTGATCGAGCTTAGATGCCCCAATTATTCGCAACGAGTTGGTTGGTTGGGTGAACGTTCCGATGTAGAAATTTTGGATCTCACCCTAAGTAGATTAGAGGGGTGTGAGTCTCTGAGATGTAGCGAAACCCTTCGATCGCACTATGATACCTACCTTTGTAGGTATTGTTTAGCTTAGCGTTTTCTTGTGCTAAGACTTACGTTTAACTAGCATGTGCATTAAATGGACACATATAGTATAATTGGTTTAAGTTGGTGAGCTAAGCTTTTAATATTTGTCTCCGTGCGCAGATTCTTAGGAGGAACGTCGAGGAGTTTATCGTGAAAACCACATTCTAGATTGGCACCGTCTTTTGAGTACATTTTGAGTATGTTTTAGAGGACATGTACTATATATGGACCTTGTTTATTTGAGTTACAACTATACTTTTTGAAATACATTTGAAAGTTTAATTGGAACGCAATTGGGGCTCTCGTATTTTGTAATCTTTATGACTTTATTTCTATTTTATAATTATGGTGGATGTTTTGAATGGTCGCATAATCATGTTTTTCAAGAAAATTTTTGGGTTAGTCACTTAGGTGGTATCATGTGGCATACTAATCCTTCGGTATTCGGATCGTACTGGATTAGGATGTTATATTGTTTCTAGTTGTTAAGCTTTTTCATGTGGGGCTAGTTTTTATCGCTGTTTTATTTGGGGTAGGTTGAGCTGGTGATGGTTTATTGCGGGGTGAGCTTCCCGTTGTACCTTTTATCAATAGGATTATGGTGTTGTTTAATGAGATTCTCAAATTTGATGGTTCTTTTATCAATAAATATCTCTTGTTGCTGAATAAAAAAGAAAAAGATAAAATAAGAAATCGTATAAAATTTTAGCAATAGAGTCTATTTTTAACATGTTAGATCTAAATTATTCTAGTATATACATGTGTTTAAATTTAATTTATATATTTTAAATATGGTCTATACTATATTTTAACTAAAATTTAATACTCAAACGAATTATTTTACACATAAAATAACTTGTAAAATTTTTTTTTTTGGGAATCATTGATATTTAATCTAATGATCAGTTAATCTTTATGGGACGGTCCTAATTTAATTTACTC